CAACATTTCGAAAAACCACATTATAGGAGAGATGTGACTGCATTGTGAGGGTGCAGGAGACTTACTCGGATATTGCCTTGACTGAGAGTCTCAGTTAGGAAAAGTATTAAATAAACTGTGTTTGTCTTCTTACAGCAAAGGAGATTGAGGAGGAACATGATTGTATAAAATTCTGACGGGTTTAGACAAGGTAGACAGGTAGATGTGCCCACAATATTATTCGGAAGACCATCACCAAGCAAGTACCAATTTCTTCATTGCAGAGATCAACATTCCTGTGCTGGATTTTGCCCATTTGTTCAATCCTCTACACTGTCTAACTGATAATTTCAGGTTCCTGTTTCTTAAAGGGCTATATTTGAAATCTTTCTCATTCAGCTGTTGTTGGGCCTACTTTATCAGCATTTGTTGCTGCAGTGTCATACTCCTCGACTAACCAGCCATTTTAAGGATCAGTTCTAACTCTCTCTGCTCCATCTTTAGTCCTGATAATTTGATCCCAGCAGAGATGAGAAGTTGGTATGGTTGTGAGATGCAGTTTGGGTGTATGGTTTGCTTTTGTCTCCTATGCATGAGTATTAGCTGGGGAAGGTGACGATAAGAAACACTGACTCATAAATCCCAGTGGAGCCAATACAATTGTCTTCCAGATTCCAGGTGACCCTAATTGGCAAGAAAATGCAGGACAACGCATCTCAGTAATCCAGCGGATTTATTGATCACAACTCTTGTGTAAATGTTCCACAGCACTCAGAGATAGGGTCGACTAGCAATGAGTGGCATGAAGTGAAACAGGTGAAAGGGCAACAGGAACACAGTAGTATAGAATGAAGGACAGGAGACAACAAAGGCAAGTCTCTCATCGGCAGGATAGACTACCTAGAAGGGAGAAACTACCTGGGCATTGTCAGAGTATGAGCATTAGTGAAGGCTAATGGTTTCTGATTTGTGTCCATCATTGAGGCTCATCAGAAGGTTTGCAGCAGCTGTTGTTATGATAAGATGAAGACACACAAAGTTTGCCTTAGTGCAACATCATGGCCAGTGCCTTATCAAAGTATGATGCAGCATTATTTACAAAAGACAATGTCCAAGTGATTCACAAAGTGAAATTACAGATGCAACAGCCTTTGTTCAAATCCACTCCTACCAGATATTCCCTCTGTGGCTGAGGAGAAGGTAAAGGCAGTCAGCTCGCTCATGACTGTCTGGGCCTGAGATGGTCATTGCGCTCACCCTCAGGTTGCAAGGTCCAGTTGAGGCCAGGCTCACTGCATCACTGAAGGGCAGATTCTGTTATAGGGTGTAGATCCACAGTCTGTTAGAGAAGGTGGATGATAATGGAACCCATGAATGGTGCCCCCTCATCACCATCTGTCACATCCTCAGCCCTTTTCTAGTGCCCATGATCACTAGTTAGGACACGGCTGGTACCCATTCTGTGCATCATTGCCTCATTAGTGCACTGACTGGTCAATGTTCAAGATTGAGGCAGACACTCTGTGCCTGTCAGTGCACAGCTCCTGCATCTACTCCAACTGATATTGCAAAGGGCTATCCATGACATTCGCTGCACTCTTAGTGGAAGAGCTCGTACACTCAAAGTCTTCAGACATTGTGGGTCAGTTGAGTAGAATGGACATCTTCATTCTCGCCCAGACATGTGGACAAATATCACTGTCTTGCTGAACACAGGACCATACCTTTCCTTCATTCTTTGAGGGGAATACTAAATAAAAACCAAAGGAACTGTCGATGCTGTAAATCAGAAATAAAACCAGAAGTTGCTGGAAAAGCTCAGCATGTCTGGTAGCATCTCTGAAGAGAAATCAGAGTTAACGTTTCAGGTCGAGTGATCCTTCCTCAGAACTGATGGAAATGTCACTATATATGCAGAAGATAGGATGGGGGAGTAGGTAAGGAGTAAACAGTAGGTGGGGATAGAGCCCAAAGAGAGAGAGAAGCGCAGTTGGACAGACAAAGGAGTAGATAGCAATCTGGCTAGGAGGTGAATAGCTGTTAATGGAGACTGTTGATGGTTAGCAATAGGCAGTGTGTAATGGCTGACTATGTGATAATAAGGCCCAGCATGTGGGGTAGGGGGCTAGGACATGGGAGAGTTCAGGCCCTAAAATTATTGAACTCGATATTAAGTCCAGAGGGCTACAGGGTCCCCAAGCGGAAAATGAGGTGTTGTTCTTCCAGCTTGCGCTAAGCTTCGCTGGAACACTGCAGCATGCCTGAGACAGAGATGTTGGCCAGGTCACAGGATGGTGTGTTGAAGTGGCAGGCAATTGGAAGCTCATGGTCATTTTTGGGGGCAGAATATAGATGTTCTGTGAAGTAGTCACACAATTGATGCTTCGTTTCTTCAAAGTAGAGGAGACCACATTGTGAGCAGCGAATGCAGTAGATTATATTGTGGGAAGTGCAGCTAAAGTGCTGGTGCTGGTGAATTTCCGCCACCTCTAATGAGATGCTACCACTAGACACATATTCCCCTTCCCTCCCTTGTCCGCTCACCGCAGGGACCATTCCCTCCGGGAGACCCTAGTCCTTTCTTCCTTCACCCACCCCCCAGCCCTACGGCACGTTCCCCTGTACCTGCGAAGGTGCAACACCTGCCCATATACCTCCTCCCTCCCCGTATCCAAGGGCCCAAACATACCTTCCAGGTGAAGCAGCGCTTTACCTGCACTTCCCAGAATCTAGTCTACTGCATTTGCTGCTCACAATGTGGTCTCCTCTACATTGGGGAAACGAAGAGTAGTCTGGCTGACTATTTCACAGAACATCTACGTTCTGCCCGCAAAAATGACACTGACCTTCAATTGCCTGCCACTTTAACACACCGCCCTGTTCCCTGGCTGACATCTCTGTCTCGAGCTTGCTGCAGTGTTCCAATGAAGCTCAGCGCAAGCTGGAAGAACAACACCTCATTTTCCATTTGGGAACCCTGCAGCCCTCCGGACTTAATATCAAGTTCAATCATTTTAGGGCCTGAGATCTCCCATGTTCTAGCCCCATACCCCACACACCAGGCCTTATTATCACATAGTCTGCCATTACACACTACCTACTGTTAACCATTCACAGTCCCCTCCTAGCCAGATTGTTATCCACTCCTTTGTCTGTCCAACTGCTCTTCTCTCTCTTTGGGCTCTATCCCCAACTATCGTTTACTCCTTACCTGCTCCCCCGACCCTATCTTCTGCATATAAACCAACATTTTCCCTGCTACCGTCAGTTCTGAGTCACCAGACGTAAAACGTTATCTCTGATTTCTCTTCACACATGCTGCCAGACCTGCTGGGCTTCTCCAGCAATTTCTGTTTTTGACCCTCTGAGGGGACCTGGCTGCTCCCAGCTCTAACGTCTCTGAATCTTCCTGCTCTAAAGTGATCTGTGCTTCACTCTGTGCCACCCTCTCATCGTAAGGGCTCACTGATTGGGGAGCACCTATACTGGTGAAGTGTGCACAAGAAAGCTGCGTCAGCACAGACTCCAAGGTGCTCATCTCCTCTGATACCTTGGGAACTGCTGGCTTTTGCTAGTTTGTGTTTTCTCATTTCTGTCTTTATTCCTTCACCATGCATTTGGGCAGCTGCTAACCCATGATTCACACATCATCGGGACATTATTTAATCCAAGTCTACAAAATCTTTAATCCTTTAATCTCCCCTGCTTTGTGTTCATAAAAATCCAATTGAAGATACAAAGACATAAACTGGTGACAGGCTATGTTCACGGCAAGTCACAAGTAACAGTTGTTATACTTATAAGGACAACAGTGCATTAACAGTGAACGAAAATATAACTTTCAATGAAGAAGTGGAATAATATTCTACTGCAGTTACTGATATACCACCAGCAACTGAGGGAAGACCCAGAGGAATTTGTGCAGCTCAGAAAGCAGAGAGAAGTGCACAACTCTGCAGTCAACTCTGTCTGGTAGTGTAGGTGATATAGTGTTCAGCAGATCAACATATTGAAAAGATGTCAAAAACAAAAGCAATTGTTAGTTTACAGTTGTAAAGAAAAGATTGGTTTATGTCCATAGAATAATTAATACTGAAGTCAAGGAGGCATGAGATTCTAGAATGATTTCATGGTGGACACTTAAAAATTACAGAATCGAGATTGAGAGCTCCACAATCAGTTTGCTGATCTTGGTCAGGCATTCCAAAGAAAACAGAAGATTTTATCTGCTTGTATCGCATATGTGCTACCAACAGCAAACTGTCAGAGAACGAATGTCCTCAAAATTTCCAGCAAGGCCATGGGGCAAATTCACAAAATATTTATTCAACTTGAAAAGACACCTCATGACCACCTTCCCCAGAACGATGAGGAATGGGCAATAAATGTTGGCCCAGGCAGCAACATCCACATTCCAATTAGAATCTAGTCCTGATGAAAGTCATCAACCTAAAGCAGTAAGACTGTTTCTCTCAACTGATATTGCCTCACCTGTTGAGTATTTCCAGTTTTTCTTGTTCTTATTTTAGCATCTAGTCCTGACCATTAGTTAAATGCATGGTACTTGGTGAATTTTTGTGGAACACTGAAGGAGAAGGAACAGGCCATAACATATATTTCAAAATCGTGGAACAAAAAAGATTCTTTCTCATTAAACATTTGCTCAGTGCACTCTTTAAGTGGAGGCCCTTGTATCCTGATAAAGCTTTCAGAGGCTAGGCTGAGCCTGCCCTGCGATACAATCAGCTCTATTCCATTGTACCATGCTAGAAAGGTGCAGCTGCTGTATCAGTGAAGCAGTTCTTGTTATTCTATTCATTGGAACAATATACTCGCCAGTAATTGACTTTCAGGTATTAAGATACTTGTTTTATGATTCAGAGGCTTGCACTAAGTCAATCCAGATTTGAACTTCCAGGTGAAGTGAGTGTGATGGGTGGGGGAGGGGAAGGGAAATTCCCCACTTTCAATGGACTGTGTCCGTGAATTTACTCAGCACTTCTAGCGTGACACTGCTGCTGGCAATGGTTTGCTTATTGTGTGAAGGCAGGAGTTTGGCCATAGGATTGCAACTGTGCCTGTATGTTTAAGTGACTGAGACTGTGGCAGGTAATGAGAGAAGAAGAACAGGTACACGGATGGGATAGGTATGGAGGGACATGGATCAAATGCAAGCAAATGGAACTAGATTAATTGTAAAAAATGGTGGCGCGAGCAAGTTGGGTCGAAGGGCCTGTTTCCATGCTGTAAACCTGTATGACTCTATTCAATCTTGGTTTGTATGTTTCTCAACCTCATTCTCCTGCCTTCTCCCTGTAACCCTTGATCCCCTCACCACTCAAGAACCTATCTATTTCTGTCTTAAAGTCACTCAACGATTTGGCCTCCTTCTGTGGCAATGAGTTCCACAGATTAACTACCCTCTGGCTGAAGAAATTCTTCCTCATCTCAGTTCTAAAGAATCGCCCATTCATGCTGAGACTGTGCTCTCGGGTCCTAGTTCTCCGCCTAATGGAAATATCTTCTTCATATACACTCTATCCAGGCCTCTCAGTATTCTGTAAGTTTCAATCAGACCACCCCTCATTCTTCTAAACTCCATCAAGTACAGACCCAGAGTCCTCAACTACTCCCCATATGACGAGACCTCCATCCTTGGGATTATTCTTCTAAAACTCCTCTGGACTGCCTCCAATGTCAGCACATCCTTCCTTAGATATGGGGCCCAAAACTGTGCAAAATATGCCAAATGCAGTCCGACCGAGCCTTATACAGCCTCAGCAGTACATTTCTCCTCTTATATTCCAGCCCTTTTCAATTGGTTGCTAACATTACATTTGCATTCCTAACTGCCAACTGAACCTGCATGCTAACCTTAAGCGAATTCTGAAATAAGACACCCACATCCCTTTGTGCTGAAGCCTTTTCCTATTTAGAAAGTCTATTTCGAAAATAGTCTATGCCCTTATTCATACTACCCAAAGTGCATAACCTCATATTTTCCCACAATGTATTTCATATGCCACTTCTTTGCCCACTCTCTCAGCCTGTCCAAATCCTTCTGCGACCTCCTAGCTTCCTCAACCCAACTGTCCCTTCACCTATCTTTGTGTCATCTGCAAAGTTAGCAACAATGCCCTCAGTTCCTTTGTACATATTGGTAACAAATAATGTGAATGGTTGTGTCCCAACATGGACCACTGTAGAATTCCACTAGTCACCAGCTGCCATCCTGAAAAAGACACCTTTAAGCCAACTCTCTGCCTTCTGCCAGTCAGCCAATCCTCTATCTATGTCAGTACTTTGCCCATAACACCATGGGCTCTTATCCTGTAAACCAGTCTCCTGTGTGGCACCTTGTCAAAGGCCTTCTGGAAATCCAAATGGATCATGTCCACTGGCTAACTTGTCTTTGTCTAAGAGATAGTAGGGACCGCTGATGCTGGAGTCTGAGATAACAAGGTGTAGAGCTGGATAAACACAGCAGGCCAAGCAGCATCAGAGGAGCAGGAAAGCTGACGTTTTGGGTCTGGACCCTTCTTCAGAAAACCCTTTTTCTGAAGAAGGGTCCAGACCCTAAATGTCAGCTTTCCTGCTCCTCTGATTGCTGCCTGGCCTGCTGTGTTCATTCAGCTCTACACCTTGTTGTCTTTGTCTAATTTGCTCATTACCTCCTCAGAGAATTCTAACAAATTTGTCAGGCGTAACCTCCCCTTGAAAAAGTCATTCTGACTCAGCCCTATTTTACCAAGCACTTCCAAGTACTCCACAATCTCATCTTTAATGATGGAATCTAAAATCTTACCAATGACCACCGGCCTTTGATTTCCTGTCTTATATCTCCCTCCCTTCTTAAACAGGGGTGTTACATTAGTCATTTTCCCATTCCCTGGGACCTTTGCTGACTCTGGTGATTCCTCAAAGACCACCACCAATGGATCTACAATCTTTTCAGCTATCTCCTTCAGAACTCCATCAGATTCCCGGTGATTTATTCATCTTCAGACCTTTCAGCTTTTGCAGCACCTTCTCCTTAGTGATGGCCACTACACTCACCTCTGCTCTGGCTCTCTTAAAGTTCTAGTATGCTGCTAGTGTTTTACATTGTGAACACTAATGCAAAATACCTATTCAGTTCCTCCACCAATTCTTTGTATCCCCTTACTAAATTTCCAGCCTTATTTTCTAGTGGTTCCTTGTCCACTCATGCCTCTCTCTTACCTTTTACATATCCATAAAAACCCTTGCAATCTTCGTTTATATTACGAGCTAATTTACCCTCATATTTCATCTTTTCCCCCTTTATTGCTTTTTTATTTATCATAGAATCAGAGAATTCCTACAGTGCAGACAGGGGCCATTGAGTCCCTAATGACCCTCCAGAGACTCAGCCTCCACCCACACCCTATCTCGACAACTTTTGCAGCCCAGATGAAAAATCCTGAACCCAGGCATCAGGCAAGTAACACAGCCTTCGGGACCCTTGATCCTGACCACTGAGAAGATTGTCTATTCCCCTGACAGTATTATTCCCAATTACAACTACATGACTACATTCCCAGTGTCTGTGGGTGCTGGGGAGTGGAGGTTGGGCTGAAATTTGTTTCCTCAAAAGGTCCCATTTTCTAAAATCAAATAAAAAGATTTAGATTTTAGATGAAGTTAATAGAGGGTTGGTAAGTCACAGCAAATATGACAGAAGGGAGGAAATTGTGAGAGCAATAAAATACAGTCAGAACTGAGCAAGCAAGAGCCAGATTGGTTCAGAGCATAGGCAGCCTCAACAATGCATTGCTGGCAGGCAGGACAATGAACTCGGATCCCCCTTATGTAGCTACACCTTCCCTGAACAATTCCTGCCAATATCTTTATTTCCTTTCCCAAATTATTGTTTCCATTTTTACTGTGTTTTTACTATTTACACCCTGTGCCTTTTTTTAAACTCTTTGCTGTCATAATCTGATTTCCTTCCTCAGATTAATTGTCTTTAGCAGATGATTAAGTCAGTGTTGGTCCAAAGAAAACATCAAGTGTCCCAACAGTCCTCTCCCTTCACATTGCAGACTGCTTGAGCAGATATTTCACTGCAGCACTGAATGAATGCCATGGTGTCAGAGGGAAATACAGTGACTGTTGTACTGTCAAAGGTTCAGTACTGAGGGAGTGCTACACTGTCAGTGGGTCAATACTGGAGGAGTGCTGCACTGTTCGAGGGGCAGATGTATGGCTGTACTATTGATGGTAAGTGTTAAACGTGCTCTTCATTGTCTTGATGCCTCCACCGAGGAGAAAAGTTTCTTCCTATCTACCCTGTCCATACCCTCATAATTTTATACATCTCAGTCATGTCCCTCCTAGTCTCCTCTGCTCCAAGGAAAACAACCCAAGACTATCCAATCTTTCTTCATAACTGAAACTCTCCAGCCAAGGCAATATTCTGGTAAATCTCCTCAGCATCCTCACTACATCAATCATATCCCGCTAATAATGTCAATTCCAGAACTGCACACAATACTCTAGCCATGGCCTAACTGACAGTTCATACAATTTCAGCTCCCTGCTCTTAAACTCTGTGCCTCAACTAATAAAGGCAAGTGTTCCATATGCCTTCTTTACCACTTCACCCACCTGTTCTAATATGTTAAAGGACCATTTGACATACACACCAAGGTCCCTCTGATCCTCAGCGCTTCTTAAGGTCCTATCGTTCTTCATGTATACCTTTGCCTTATCCGTCCTGCCCAACTGCATCAACGCACACTTACTCAAATTGAATTCAATTTGCCGCAGATCAGCCCATCCATGTCCTCCTGTATTCTGAGGCTATCCTCCTCACTAATTTACAACCCCACAAATCTTTGTTCATCTGTGAATGTACTGATCATCCCTTGCAGACTCAATACTAAATCATACTGAAAATTCCAAGCCCTAGGCTATTGGCCTGGGACATGGATTTAAATCCCACTATGACAGCTGTGAAACATGAATTCAATAAAAATCTCAAATTAAAAAGCTAACCTCATAGCAACTGTAAAACCCAATGTTGTAAGAACACACTTCCTTCCTATCCAACGGGGCAGCATATACAGGATAGGAGACTTAATGTTCATGAGCAGCTTGGCAGCACCACTACTGGCCTAAAGGACATAGCTAATAGTCTGCTTCTGCAGAAAGGAACCAGCAAGAGGGAGAAATTTACTTGACCTTGTCCTCCTCAATCTACCAGTAGCATATATGCTTGTCCATAACAGTATTGAAAAGAGTGACTACTGCACAGTCCCTGGGGAGATGAAGTCCTATCTTCACATTAAGGGTACCCTTTGTATGATCTGTAGCACTATCAACATGCTAAACAGGACACATTTCAAATTAATCTAGAAACTCAAAACTGGACATCAATGAAGTGCTGTAGGTTTTCTGCAGTGGCACAATTGTATTCAATCATAATTTGTAACCTCAAAGATGTGCATGTCCCCACTCTACCATTATCATCAAGCTGGGAGATCATACCTAAAAAAGAGGTGCATCTGGTGAGGCTAAACCACAGAGCTACTTGTATTACAAACAGTGGAAGTAGCATGTGATAGACAGAGCTAAGTGATCCCACAAACAATGGATCAGAATTAAGTTCTGTAGACCTGTCACATCCAGACATGAAGGGTGGTGGGCAATTAAACAACTCCTGGGCGCCGAGGATCCACAAACATCCTCATCTTCAATCATGGGGGAGTCCAGCGCATAAATGCAAAAATTAAGATTGAAGTATTCAAAATAATTTTCAGCCAGAAGTGCCAAATGGGTTATCCATTTGACCTCTTCTTGAAGTTCTCAGTATCACAGATGCCAGTCTTTAACCAATTTGATTCAGTCTACCTCATATGAGAAATGGCTGAAGGTACTGGATACTGCAAAGCTGCAGATCCTGACAATATTCTGACAATAGTATCAAAGGAATGAGCTCCAGAACTAGCTGTGTCCTGAGCCAAGATTTTCAGTACAGTTACAACCTAGCATACACCCTACAATGTGGAAAATTGTCCTGATATGTCCAAAGCACGGAAAGAAGGACAAATTCAATGCAGCCAACTACCACCCTATCAATCTACTTTTGATTTTCAGCAAAGTGATGGAAAAGGTCATTAATAGTGCTATTAAGTGACACTTGCAAATGATTAACTCAATTATTCTCAGTTTGTGTCAGGACAATTTGGCTACAGTCCTCATTACTGCATTGGTCCAAACCAAGAGCTGACCTCCAGATGTAAAGTGAGAATGACTGCACATTTTTAAAAATTAATTCACAGGAGGTGGGCCTCACTGGCTGGGTCAACATGTTATCCAATCCTACAAGGCTGCCTGATTAATGCTATAATACCTGCCTGATTAATGCTATGATACAATTAGAATCATAGAATCCCTACAATATGGAAACAGGCCCTTTGGCCCAACATGTCCACACTGACCCTCAGAGCATCCCACCCAGACCCATCCCCCTATGACCCACCTAATCTACACACCCCTGAACACTATGGGCAATTTAGCATGGCCAATCCACCCTTTGGACTGTGGAGGAAACTGGAGCACCCGAAGGAAACCCACACAGACACGGGGAGATGTGCAAACTCTACACAGACAGTCACCTGAGGGTGGAATCAAACCTGGGTCCCTGGCGCTGTGAAGCAGCAGTGCTAACCACTGA